AAAGAAAGAAAGAAAGAAAGAAAGAAAGAAAGAAAGAAAGAAAGAAAGAAAAGAAAAGAAAAAAAAGTCTGGAGAGGTGGCTCAGAGGTTAAGAACATTGGTTGCTCTTCCAAAGGCTCTGAGTTTATTTCCCAGCAACCACATGGTGGCTCACAACCATATATAGTGAGATCTGGTGCCCTCTAAATCTTTAAAAAAGAAAGGAAAAGTTCAAATTTAAGGCCATCCTTGGCTACTTAGTGAACTCAAGGCCAGCCTGGGCTATGTGGGATGTAGTGTGGAAAGAGAGATACAAATATACTACTTCTAGAGAGAACTAATTTCTTTCTTTTCCTTTCTTTGCTTGTGCATGTGAGCGTGCGTGCATTTGCAGGGGCTGGAGGAGGATGCTGATGTTTGTTTCTGTCACTCTGACTTGTCCTTGAGACAGAACCTGGATCTTGTTGTTCTGGTCAGTGGCAGGCCAGCAAGCCCCATGATCCACTTCCCACAACTCAGGTCCCTGGAGAGTGTGGCCACACTGTGTTTTACATGGGTGCTGGGGTCAAGCTGTGCTCTCCAGAGCCATTTTCTCAGTGCATGCTTTGCTGTCTTAGCTTTTTAAAATGGTCTTGCCGTGCAGCCCAGTCTGGCCTTGGTGAATTCGAAAGGAAATGGGCGTTGACTTTAAGAATTCTTAGATTGAGTGGGCTGTGGCCCATGCCTGTAATCCTGACACTTGGGGAGGCAGAGACAGGCAGATCTCTGTGAGTTTGAAGCCAGCCTAGTCTACAAAATGAGACCAGGGCACCAAGGCTACACAGAGAAACCTTGTCTCTTAGATTGGGGCTGAAGAGACAGTTCAGTGGTTAAGGATGTAAACTTCTCTTGTGGAGGACCTGAATTCAGTTCTCAGCACACACATCAGACAGCTCAGGACCTCCTGTAATTCCATCTCCAGGAAATCAAATGCCCTCTTCTAGACTGCACATATATATACATAATTAGAAAATAAAAATTGTTAGGATTTAGACGACGGAGCTGAACGATGTCACACCACAAGGGAGGCCTCACGTGAGAGGTTTATTAGAGAAGGGGAACACAGAAGCAGTTTCTGTGGGAAGAAAAAGGGCAGAGCAAAGTGGACAGTGTCATTATAAGGTGACTCTGCGCATGTGCACGAGGTAGATTCGTGCTTGGTGGCTGCCGTAAAGCTGTCACAGCGCAGCGCAGGTTCGGGCACCAACACGTGGTTCCCGGTGGCTTGAGAAGGTGTTGCACTGATGACGACTCGTGGATGATGACGTGCTCTGCTACTGCCAGGTTCCTGGGGCTGATGACGGAGCTGCCTGATTACTAACAAAAATGCTCTTCAAAGAAGACCCCTTAGATTTAGGAGGGCGTGGCAGCATGTGTCTGTGCTCTCAGGACAATCAGGCGTTCACAGTCATGCACAAGCTACTTAGCAAGCCTCTCTCAGGGAGGAGAGGGAGAGATTCAGGCTGGAAGTAGCTAAATGATAGAAACCTGATATGTGCAAGGCCTTACGTTCAACCCCTAGCTGTTGTGGATATAAACATGTTTTTGTTTTGGTCCCCAGTGTGGGATATGGGATGAGCGAGATGGTCCTTGCCAGCTGCAGATAGTTTAAATTTGAGGACTCCAGAGAAAGAATAAATGCCAGAGCCCAGAGAGTGTGGTGCTCAGAGAAAGAACAAGACTATTCCTGCTTTCCCCTGCTGCTCCTGGTTGCTGTTGTGACACAAGATGGAATCTCCTGAAACAAAGACTGGACTGGCTCCAAGGAACCGGAGGGCCCTGACCAGCAGGCAGCAGCTAAGAAAGAACTGTGTCCCCTCTCCCACTAACCCTTTCTCTGCCCTATCTGGTGTTGGGGTGTTGGAAGGGATAGGGATGGAGTAGGGAGAAAAAGATATAAGAAAGAGATAAAAGAGATAAAAGAATTTTTAAGATAAAATAATTTTTATTTTTATTTTTTTTAAGTACACCATCACCTAGCATTGGGCGAGGGCAGGTTGGTTGCAGGCCCGTATTCCTAGGTACCTGAAGAGTGAGGCAGGAAGAACCCAAGATCAAAGCCTGCTTGGGCAACAGAACAGCTGTGCCAGCCTGGGCAACCTAGTGAGGCTGTGTGTGTCTGTCTGTCTGTATGATGGGGGTGGGGGTGGGGGAGGGTAAAAGGCTTAACTAAACAACAGCCTGCCCCACTTTCCCTGCC